TCGTCTAAACCCTCGTTCAAGAGGGATGGGTACGCTAAACAATTTGAGTTTAATTCTTCGCTGATTCACAAACTGACTCCTCTGCAATCATTCGAACAAGTTGGCGATGTAGCTGCGGACGTCATAAAAGATCTGACTGTTCGGAACGAGACTCTCGTTATAGCGGACGACTACCCCGAAGTATTTCAATTCCTCGAGAAGGAAACAAAGGCGGAATCTTTGAAATCGAAAGATGCTCGATTGAGCAAGTTCCTGGAAGCGGTTGCAAAGAAAGAGGACGAACCAGGGGGAAATTGCAGCCCTTTCGAAAGTGGGAGGCAGCCTGGCACCCCGCTCCCTATCCACCTAACTGAGCAACAGCCATCCGTCACGGCCCGTATCGATCACCGCTATCGACATGCACAGATCGAAGCGTACGGGAAGTACAGTAATATCTACAAAAGGGATCAGTCACCGCAAGACAAGTAACGCAGCTCGCCATACAACAAGGAAAGGGACAGGAGAAAGAGCGAGTGCAACAGCTGTGGCCGGGAAGGGCACTGGTCCAGAGAGAGTGTCCCAACAGGAAATGGTGAGTTTGTCGCTGGCTCGATCCATCTTCATTTGTCAGTGTGGGAGGCTCTCGAGCCGTCTGTTTTGGTCTCGACCACGATTAGATATGGGTACTCTATACCCTTTGATTCCTCTCCCACGAGGCCAAAATACAACGGAAATCGTAAGAGCGCTCTCGAGCATGATAGTTTTGTGACCAAGGAGCTTTCAGATTTGCTTCAATCTGGTGTAGTCGCAGAGGTTCCCGAACCCCTTCATCATTCAATACACATACATCCTCTTTCGGTCGCACAAGGTAAGAAGTTGCGATTAGTTCATGATCTCTCACATCTGAATCAGTTCATCAATGTTCCAAAATTCAAACTAGATGACATGAGCACCGTTTTACATGCCTTTCCCGACAAAGGTTTCATGACGACTTTCGACCTCAAGTCGGGCTACCATCACGTGAGAATCTCTCGAGATCATATCAATTATCTAGGGTTCAAATGGAGGGGAAAAGTATATCAATTTTTATGCCTACCCTTCGGACTCGCCTCAGCCCCGCAGCTTTTCACTAAATTACTGCGCCCCTTTGTCAAGAAGTGGAGGCAAAGAGGGCTAGGGGTGGCTATCTATATCGACGACGGAATTATATTCCATTCTTCCAAAGACGGGTGTCGGGAAGCTTCAGCTGTAATCAGAAAAGACCTTCAGGAAGCGGGGTGGCACTTTGCTCATGAGAAATGTAATTGGTCCCGTCCCAGTCGGCGAAGTGGTTGGGTTTCGACATTAATCTGGCCAAGATGTGCTTTGGCATTACAAACGAGAGACTTGAGAAAGCCAAGCACAGAATGTCAGTATTAATGAGAAAAGCACAGCCTTCACTTTACGATAGACTAAGATGGTCAGGAACCCTTTCATCTATGCACTTAGTGATGAATTTTGCAGATATTCGCTTTACACGTGGCGTGGCGCGAGAAATCGCACTGGCACAGAGTCTCGACTGGCCCATGTCTCACAAATGGGTGAAAACAAACGAAGAAAAGAGTGAGTTGCTTTTTTGGTCTTCCAGACTAGAAAGAACAATCGAAAAATCACTTTTTCCTCAAAGAGAACGAACAATCTACCAGCATATCATCCAGGTAGATGCCTCGGCGCACTCCGTTGGTGCTGTTCTATTAGACTCTAATGGGGATATAAAGGATAGGACGTTTAGAGAACTTCCTATGCCCCTTTTGGGTGAATCAAGTACAGCAAGGGAGCTCTTCGCCATCAGTTTCGGTTTAGACGCTTTCAAAAACCGCTTAGAAGGGAGTGTTCTCGTGAATACTGACAACCAAGCAGCTTCCAGCATATTTAGAAAAGGCAGCATGTCCCTTCTGCTTCACCATTTAGCACAAAATGCATGGCATATACAAGACCAACATGCGCTGGAAGTTATAGTAAAATGGATACCTAGGGGATTGAACACGGAAGCTGACGCAGCGAGTAGAGAATTAGATTTCGATGACTGGAGGATATCCTCCTTCATTTTCAATATCATAGCAAATAAATGGGGCTTCCCCGACATCGATATGTTTGCAAACGATCGCAACACGAAATGTAAGGTGTTCTTTTCCAGCGTTCCATGTCCAGGATCGGCCGGCGTCAATGCGTTCGATATCTGCGAGGCATGGAGAGACCGTTTCCTTTGGTTAGTTCCTCCGGTATCTTTGGTCTTAAAAACGCTAAAATGGGCAGCGTACTACAAGTCAGTGGGAATTCTGGGATGTCCCTTGTGGAGCTCGCAGCCCTTTTTTCCCGTTATCAGGAGAGACGGGGCCACGTGGGCCGATTTCATCAAAGATGGGGTGCTTTTTCCGGTGGGGACTAAGCTGTTTCAAGAAGACGGTCAACCAGGGGCCTTTGGTTCCCCATTCTCGAAGTCTCCGTTTGTGTTCTTCCTTATTGATTTTCGGGAGCTCCCTTATGAGCGCAAGGCTCTTTCTTTTTAGTCCCCAGGCTTTAAATTTCCACAGTCTCTACGTGTACAATAATTCAAAATGGTATTTATACCAGAGTATATACGGAGGTATAAGTGATATTTTGAATTATTGATCTTTGGTCGGAGGGAGGCGGGGCGAAGTGACCTCACTGAGCCTCGCCGTAGAAGGGCCATCCAGGTTTCTACGGCGTCTCAGAGTGGTCCCGCCCGCCCACCCCTGATTTTGGGCGAAAAGATCAGTTCAATGATTTTCAGCTTCTCGTTTCCAAGCGGGAGCGGATTTGGCTCAGGAAGCTACACGACTGGGTCTCCCGTTAGCTGGAGTTATTACGAACGCTTTGCAAGCCGACCGAGCCCCGACAACAATTTCTCTCTACAAAGCGGAATTGAAAAAATTTACCTCATGGAAGGACAGCTCTCGCTTGCAGAACATACCTCTTTCTAAGGCCAGAAATTTATATCTAGCTAAAGCAGCCTACGAGGGCAGGCAGAAGGCGATGCCTCTGGTTATATCAGCGCTCAATTACTTCTTCGGCCCTCTGACAGGGGTCGACAAAGACATCCAGGCATCATTACTGGAGGCCGAGAAGAGGACAGCCCCTCCGGTAATACATCGAGCCAAGGTCGATCCCCTCTCTATGCGTAGGATCGTAAACGAGGGCATCAGGTCACAGGATGCTAACATAACGCAGGCTGCGACTCTAGCGCTATTACAATTCAAAGCGTTCCTCAGAATAAGCGAAGCTAGATGCTTGAAAATTCAACACATCAAGCGCGTTAGCAATGTGGATTGGCAAGTGACCATCGAAAAATCCAAAACGGATCAGTACAGGGCGGGGGCAACTAGCACAATTCGCTTAGACAAGCTAGAGCAAGAACTGCTCACCAAATACCTATCTTCTACAAAAGAGCATGTGTATTTGTTCCAGTCATGTTCTACGGGAGCCCCCCTCACGTATGCGACTTTGCGATCCCGACTAAGTGTGTTGCTCAAAGCCTCCCATCTTCAGCATCTGTCTCTCACATCGCACTCCTTCAGAGGAGGAGCGGCTTCCCTGGCACTCGACCTGGGTTTCGACCAAATCAGGGTTATGCAGGCGGGTAGATGGAAATCTACAAAAGCTTTCTCGAGCTACATTTCCCCCAAACCCATACCCCTCCCAACTAGCCCATGTAGCTTCCCAAAACCTTCTCTATGATTCGTGTATTTTATCGTCAAGGGTTACCCTCTTTATCTTTTATCTACAGGCTCTTTTTCTTGTTATCTCCTGCCGCTTCAATGGGACGTTTCGAATATATGGTTCATGTATCTTCAGTCCTGCACGAATGGTCGTCTTCTCAATCTTGCAGCTCATTTTCATGTATGGACTATGTAATTGCTCCCTTGTTACCCCTATAGTGATGCCTTATCCCGTTTTACATGTGCCTTCTGCGACTCTACTCATATTGATGCTTTATACTTTGATACAGGTGCCTTTCTCATGCCAGGATTCACAACTGTTTACGTTCATTATAATATTTGAAGCATACTGATGCAAGTTTTGGTCTCTTCCTATGTTGATGCATGTACATACACATCCTGTTATAATTAAACCTCCGATACATAATATTCAATCATACATAATATTCTGTACTACTGTCTACATGTTATCTTCGCTATTCATTTCTCACGCAAAAGGTATTTCAACGCAATGTGTTCTTTGTACTTCGTTACATTGATATGTGATAAGTATGTACATGCAATATATATACATAATATATACGACGCCACGGAATAAAACCTGATTCACAGTCTCTACGTGTACAATAATTCAAAATGGTATTTATACCAGAGTATATACGGAGGTATAATTATCTTTTTTAATGAAATATAGTTCAGAAACTAGTTTTTGTTAAAGGGAGTTTTGGTAAAGGATGGATGTATTGCTCTCTGGAGCAAGAATAGACTGAACATATTGCATGGATGACTATACATGAGCGGCTGAACCAATCTCATAGCGCAATTCAGCGCAGCAGTTGGCTCAACGTGTCTCGAAGTTTTTGAGAAGATACGGTAGCGGCAAAGAGCCGCAATTCACGAGGTCGCAATATTGCGACAAGTTGCGACACATTCTGAAATTTCCTGTGGTCCTTTCTCAATTCTTACTTCCTCTGTGGCGGATGGGTTATTTTTCTTTAGGGTTATTGTGGTGCTAACTTAGTTGGGGGGGGGGGCACGCGGCGGCGCGGCAGTCTGCTCACCTGGGCTCTCTCGAGCGAGACAGTGTAAACTCGAACATTCCAGCTTTTCACGCATGTCAAGTGACTGCCCCCACCCCCTAGACTGCCTACACTCCCCCTGGCCCACGGATTTCCGAACATGCCAGGCGAGCAGACTGCCGCGCCGCCGCGTGCCCCCCCCCCAACTAAGTTAGCACCCGGTTAAATGTTTTTTTTCTCCCAATTGATAAGATCGTTGAGTTGTACGGTCAGCAACTTCTTGAGTTTGCGTAGTCTTATAGGGGGGCGCTTTTCGAGCCGCTATCCTTGCTGTTCGTTATCATGCAGCGCATGGTTAATGGTTTGTAACGATTGCCTAGCCAAGCAAAGCTGATTTGATCTCTGTTTACATATTGTTTTTAGCGCTGTTTTATTTAAGGAAAACATTTCGGTGCCGAGAGCCCAAGGCATTCAAAACCACGACAAAAGCTGGCCGCCATTTTTCTTTCCAAGTCAGGCTATTTCACATTAAACCAGGAATACCCTCCTCTGCAATCTCCTGTGTCCTTTTTTGACGGAGCACTTTGCAAGGAACTCTTTCGCCTGCCCAAGTTATCTGAGGGAAGGTGTGATTTAGCAGTAGCTACAGAAACATGAGAAGTTGCTGACTTTTTGCTTCAGGGTTATTTGACGTTTTTGTTACGCTTTTCGATCTTTTATTCTTACTCTTAATACGTTTTGTGCTAGTGAGGTGCCAGCAGGTTTTTATCGTTAGCCCAATTTGGCCTTTTGACCAAATCATATTCCTCTATACAAGTCTACCACTACGAGAACAAAACGATGTCGGCGAGGGGTGAGGGGGAGGGGGGGGAGAGCGTGAGCCACGTTTTATCAGTTTCGTTTTCATGTAGCAAAAGTTTGAACGTGTGAAGTCCTCATGGTCGTGGACCTTTTTAGCGAAGGGCAGAACGCTGACTTATTCAAAGGACCGAGTTCAAGCGGTCCTTAGAAATTCTGTGCTTGGCGCCGCGCTAACCATTGTTATGCAAGAAATAGCCTAAGAAAAGTAGCTTTGAAACGGTTGTTGTTCAAAGGATCACTCGAACGACAAAGGTGCACTGTGCATTTTCTGAGAGATCACTTCATATGTGCTCCTGTCCCTAATCGGACTTCTTGTGTGCCAAATAAAACTGACCTCACAGGTGATTAGCAAACACTTATCTACTGCCCTGATGGGGTGGAAGGTGAAATCTTACAGTTTCATAGGAAAAAAAAAGGCGTATTAAATGGTCTACAAGGCTATCTGACGGTGAGCCTCGGTTCGTGTTTCTAAAAAAGCGTTTAATGCGCTGTGCCACGTCGGGCGTTCTCTCCCTTTAATACTTTGACCGCTGCGACGTTGCACGCGGTCAGTTCTTTGGCCTTACGATTGTGGAGGTACCGACAGGAAGGACCGTCGCGCGGCTAGAAGGCAAAGTCAACGGACGAGTCGCAGCGTGTACTGTAGCGATTTCGTTTAATTAAAATGTACCATGCATTTTGGTACATTGTAATTAACTTGACGCGAAATCACTACCACGCGCTGCGACTCGTCCACTGACTTTGCCCTTGATAGCAGTGTTCGGAATTAAAATTGGAAGCATCGTGGGCGTGTTACTTCTATCCAAGAAACGAGAATCCAATTTTTTACAGGGCAGGAAATTAGAGTATTAATGATTGGCTTTGGAAAAAGGGGACTGAGTATGAGGAGAAATATTAACCATTATGAGAACGTGGTTCTGAAAGCCTGAGTGCGCTGCGCTGCGATTTCCTCCCTGTACTACACCAAGCCCACAGGAATTGAGTCCAAGTGAAAAGCTCTTTT